AATTGTATTGATATTATTAATTTATATAGGGGTGTCCGTAGGATTCAACATTTTGTGTGATTATGTACTAAATCCTACCGACTTGTTTGAAGAAACTAAATTTTACCTTCAAATATTTTTGAATTACACACGAAACAGTTGTTTATCTTGATTTTCTTGCCTAATATCACCGCTCAAGATGAATAAATAACAAATTTTGAGTTTTCTAAAACTATTTTTTTTTTTTACTATTCAAAAACGAAATGTGGTCTAAGTGTTGTTTTTTTTTTTTTTTTACCAGCTGGTCTCAGTGTTTATGCATGTTCGACCTCCTTCTTTTATTAATTTTTGATTTTTTTGGGGTAGCGTGACATGCCCACGGATAAAAATAAGCTAGGCCCTTGATTGGGGCCTATAGCCTAACTTGATTGGGGCCTCATATGGTCTGGGTTATTTAGCAAATAGGTCAAGCCCAAAGTCTATTCAGAAGCATTTTAAGGTAAATAAGCTAAGTATCTGAAAGCTCGTAGGTTTACCCTAATCAAATTTTTAAAATTTATTTTATTAATATATATTAAAATATATAGGTTTCTAAGTGTATTAAAAGTTAATTATTGTGTAAACTTTAGTAGGCTCAAAGTTTATTTGTGGTATTTTAAGCTTGAAACATAAGGTCTTTTTAAAAGCAAGCAGATCTTTAAAAAGACTTTAGGCCTGTTAGGCTTTGTAAAGATTCAAGCTTAAGTCTAAAACTATTGGGGAAAAAAACACTGTATACGAATTTAGGTCCAGGCATAAGCTTTATATTCCTGCTAGAAATTTAGACCTATTTGGGCAATGCTGTCAAGTGTAACATAGATATTTTGTTAAATAAGTTATATTGTTAAGAGTTAGTTACAGTTTGTTATGTAGATAGTCTCCGGCTCTCTAGCTCACTTTTGTATATATATATTCTTTCCAATCAATAATAATATCAGCTCATTTACTTCCAATATCCAGTTTCATGGTATCTGAGCCAAACACAAACCCTTTCTTGTCTTTTCCTATCCTCTCTCTCTCCTTCCTTTCGGTTTTCCCCTTCCTTGTTTCCTCCGCCCCCCCTTTTTTTTCGGTCGCCCTCCTCTCCTCCGATCGTCCATGGCGACCAACTCTGATCCATCAACCGATCAATCAAGCCCCTATTACATCCATCCAAGCGAAAATCCCGCTCTTGTCCTAGTCTCCCTGCCGCTTGACGGTTCCAATTACCACAGCTGGTCCCGTGCCATGAAGATGGCTTTATTGTCGAAGAACAAGTTGAAATTTGTCGATGGCTCGATTTCTCGCCCCTCAGCTTCTGACAAAATTTTTCCAGCATGGGAACGGTGCAATAACTTGGTTCAAGGATGGTTAACTAAGTCACTCTCTCCCACGATTGCTCGCAGCACTCTTTGGTTTGACACGGCGACCGAAATCTGGAATGATCTCAAGTCGAGGTACTCTCAGTCTGATATATTCAGGATCGCCGAGCTTTAGGAAGAAATCTTTAGTCTCAAACAGGGGCCTCTCACTGTAAGTGAATACTACACTCGTCTCAAAATACTCTGGGATGAGCTCTCGAATATACGACCGATAAAATCCTGCACCTGTGGCTCCAATGAGAATGCTCAAACTCATCGCGAACAGGACTATGTCATCCACTTCTTGAAGGGCCTAAACGAGCAATACGGTGGAGTCAAGTCACAAATTATGCTTCTGGATCCACTTCCGTCCATTAATCAGGTTTTTTCTTTAATTCTGCAACAAGAGAGAGAACTTCATCCCCCTCTATCAGTACCTGTCGATTCCAAAATTTTACTAGCTAAGGGACCACAGCGTCCCCCCGCTAAGTCCTCTGGCGGATCCACCAAACAATGTTCTTATTGTGGCAGACCGCGTCATACAGAGGAGACATGTTACAGGAAACATGGTTTCCCTCCAGGCTTTAAATTTCGATCCGGCTCTCCTACCGTGGTGAACAATCTTTCATCTCAAGAATCTAGTCATGTTCAAGATGCCAACTCTGCTAAGCCTCCCTTGCTGCCCACTCCTAATACTGCTTCCGTCTTGCCACATTTGTCCTCTGAGCAATATCAACGACTTCTGGCCTTGCTTGCTTCTCCTCAGCCTGCCTCCGTAAATCATCTCTCCTTCCTATTCTCATTTCAAAATGTTTGGATCACTCTGTTTTGCCTCCACAGTATCTCCTCATCGTTTGAAGTTTGATTCCAGAGCACACAAATGTATTTTTCTTGGATTCCCATCAACCTCCAAGGCCTTCATTTTACTAGACTTACACACCAACCAAATCTTTCAATCTCGGGATGTCATTTTTCATGAGCTTGTCTTCCCTTTCAAACCAGATTCTATCACTTCTCCCCTCTCTCAACCTATTTTACCTTCTATCCAACCCTCCTCATCTCCTCCAGTTGATGATTGCTCCATTCCATCAACTTCTATCTCACTTCCAGCCCCTCACATGTCATCCTCCACCATGCCTTCGCAAGACACTCCATCCTTCTCTCAGCATCATTCTCCTCCTTCTCCTTCCCCTCCTTTTGACATGACATCATCTCATACTTCTGTTTCTCCACCAGTAAGAAGGTCCACTCGTTCTCATCACCCACCTACATATCTGCATGACTATCACTGTGCCCTTATTACTTCTAATCAATCATCAGAAAAGACTTCCATTCGTTATCCTTTATCACCTATTTTATCATATTCTTGTCTTGCTCCTACCTATACACGTTTTGTCTTGGCTGTCTCCACCACATCTGATCCAACCACCTATAATCAAGCAGTAAAACATTCTCAGTGGAGGGATGCCATGAATGCAGAAATCAAAGCACTTGAACAGAACCACACTTGGGTTCTCACCTCTCTACCACCCGGTAAGAAGTCCATCGGTTGTAAATGGGTCTTTAAAACCAAGTATAAAGCCAATGGTGATATAGAACGACATAAGGCTCGTCTTGTTGCAAAGGGTTACACACAAACTGAAGGTTTAGACTATTTTGATACCTTTTCCCCAGTTGCAAAAATGACTACTTTACGTATGTTACTTGCCATTGCTTCTGCCAAAAATTGGTTTCTTCACCAGCTAGATGTGAATAATGCATTTCTTCATGGTGATCTCCATGAAGAGGTGTACATGGATCTTCCAAAAGGATTCATAGCCCCTAGATCTGATATGGTTTGTAAGTTGCAGAAATCATTATATGGCCTAAAACAAGCAAGTCGCCAGTGGTATTCAAAACTCTCTTATGCCTTATTGTCTTATGGTTATCATCAATCCTCTTCTGATCATTCTCTCTTTTACAAAGCTGCCAATGCTTCATCATTTACAGTTATCTTAGTCTATGTTGATGATCTTATTTTAGCTGGAAATGATATGAATGAGATCAACTCCATTAAGCTGCAACTTGATCAGGCTTTCACCATAAAAGACCTTGGTGAGCTTCGTTACTTCCTTGGAATTGAGCTGGCACGTTCAAAGCAGGGCATTTTTCTCTCACAAAGGAAATTTGCTCTGGAACTTCTTCAAGATACAAGATACTTGGCATCCAAACCGGCTTCAACTCCAATGGACCCTCATCTCAAGCTGTCCAAAGATAAAGGAGTACCACTGGAAAATTCTCAAGTATACAGGAAGCTGATTGGGCGTTTGCAATACCTCAACACCACACGTCTCGACCTTAGCTTTGTTACTCAACAACTCAGCCAATACATGTCTGACCCAAGAGACATTCATCTTCAAGCTGCTCACAGGGTCCTACGATACATAAAAGCCTCTCCTGGTGCTGGTTTATTCCTTCCTTCATATTCTGATTTAAAACTGAAAGGTTTCAGTGACTCTGATTGGGCTAGCTGCATCGATTCTAGGAGATCTGTGACTGGCTTTGCTATATTTCTGGGTTCATCTCTTATCTCCTGGAAAGCTAAAAAGCAAATGACAGTATCTCGCTCCTCCTCTGAGGCAGAGTACCGTGCTCTAGCTTCTACTACATGTGAACTTCAGTGGTTATTGTATCTTCTGAATGATTTTCATGTTTCACATCTTGCTGCTGCTCCATTATACTGTGACAATCAATCTGCTCTCCAGATTGCAGCTAATCCTACATTCCATGAGAGAACCAAGCATATTGAACTTGATTGTTACCTTGTTAGAGAAAAACTACAGGCTAAAGTCATCCATCTTCTTCCAGTCAAGTCTGCTGATCAACTGGCTGATGTCTTTATCAAGCCACTGCATCCCACACGCTTCCATGAACTCATTTCCAAGCTTGCGGGGGGTGTCAAGTGTAACATAGATATTTTGTTAAATAAGTTATATTGTTAAGAGTTAGTTACAGTTTGTTATGTATATAGTCTCCGGCTCTCTAGCTCACTTTTGTATATATATATTCTTTCCGATCAATAATAATATCAGCTCATTTACTTCCAATATCCAGTTTCAAATGCCTCGTCTCATTGGACCCGTTTCCATCCCTGCTCCACATAATAATTAAGGCGAAACAGGCCAATTATTAGACTGTGATTTTAGCTTCATGAAATTGAATTCTTTGCGAGGACGGAGTGCTACTTGAGCTTAATAAGTTTGACCATTAATGAATATATCTTCTCTGATTGCACCATTGGCAAATTCTGATTCCCGTAAACTCAATAATTCATCATCTTGCAGTATAACAAGAAGACAACTCATCACGCTCCCAACAATTTGGACCATATATATAAAGAGATACACTTGATTTTGCAGATACAAAATAATAAATTTAAAACCAGAGGGCGATAACATTGTTCCCCCAACTTATTGAATCATATGGAAAGTAAAGAAATAATAATAATAAAACGTAGATCACATATATGTATATATAAAACCTCAGCAGCCATAAAAAAGTTGGCTGCTTTTTTTTGAAGCAACACAGATCCCCAGGTGAAGTGAAAAATGGGCGTCACTTCGTGAGACCCATCTTTTTTTTTTGGTATACTGTCTGGGAGCGTTAGAAGAACTGAGAGCGAGAAGCAAAGGTCTGGCCGAAGGACCAAGAGGAAGGAACAACATTGGAGAAGAGAACAGATTTGGAATCAGACAAGGTGAGCTTGAAGGAGAGGTTTTGGTTTCGAAGGTCCATGTTGGCTTGCCAGTAGGCCCCCCAGTTCCTATGCATTTGGGACCACGTTGCTGACCTGGACCCTCTGACCCACACATTCTTCACTTCCCCACTCCCTCCTACGTTCGATATCATCACCATGTTGAAGTTCCCTTGCCCCTTCAACGTAAACCTCACTCCCCCTCTTCTCCTGCACCCCACCCTGCAACATATTTTCACATTAACCTCGTACATATGTATGGATGTAAACTGAGTTCGACATTCACGTAGGTTAGTGTTAATTACTATGTATGATGATTATAATTATATTACCTTGCATAAAGGACAGGGACGATGCCTTCGTTGCCTTGTCGAGCAATGCGAAAGAAAGCAGGCATGGACATGTCGAAGTGGTGGTGAGGCGGGTCGCACCACCCTCCGTGGTTGTTCGGAGGGCAAAAGTTGGTGGCCGTGACGGTGACGGTCCGGCCCCGGAGGCACCATTTAGGGTCGGCCCGGTAGTCGCACATTACTCGGTAGCATGCACCACACACCTGTCCACCTCTGAACAACATCGTACTCACTGCTGCTGTGTTCACTCCAAACCCAGCATGAAACGTGTTATCGTAGCCACATGCTCCTCCTGCCTCATACACACATACACACATATAATCAAAACACCACTTCATTATAAGAACTAAGAGAGAATTCATCAGCGTCGGAATTAAAGATTCGACTGTACTGATATAGAAAGCTCATATTTATATCTGTGTTTTGGATCTTGTCTCCAGAGAGTTGAAAGATAAGAGTGAGTTTCATTTTCATGTGGATCTGAAGAAGAAGACTTACCCAAGGCGGTGGGACTTTGATCGGCTCCATAGAAGGTTGCATGAGCATGAAGCCAAGCTAAGGCGTGGACGTGGAGGCTTGAGGCACTGAGCACAAGGAAAATGAAGCAGAGAAAACGAGAAGGAATGATCATAAGAGGCCCCATGTTTCTTAGGAAAACAAACAGAATTGTGGGTACTTGTTCTGTTAAAATGTCTTGGAATTGGGAAATCAAATGAGGGGATGTACGTATGTATGAATAAGTGCTTGAAGGGAGTGGCTTGTTTTATAGGTTGAGGAGGCGGTTTGTCGGTGATTATAATAAAAATGGATCTACGAAATTTCCGAAATAGATAGAAAGATAGGAAGTTTGATTTTAATGAAACGCGTTTTCTTTACACGTTCTGTCAAGTACGGAGGCAAAGTACGGCTGGACAAAGGAATTTTGAGACAGCAAGATAAGAAAGCACATGTTATTATGGCCTGCATGTGCAAAAATTTCCTCAAATCTCTCTTGTTGATGTTTGGAATTGGGATCTTTTTTAAGCATTTTAGAATAAAGTAAAGTGAGAAGGCAGGGGAATCATACGAAACCAGCTCGTAAGGTAGAGAGGATGAACTCAAACGACATGTTCAAGGCTTGTGGGATCTTGTATTCGGAAAGAATTCTCTCGCGAATTGTTTCATGACGAGCCTCTTATTTTAGATTAATGTTGATTTAATCTCGTTCAAACCGAAATGGTGTGAGATTTCCTTGTGACAAAGCTCTAGAGCTTAGAGAGGAAAATTGGAGTCAAAGATTTTGGCCAAGCGTAGTGATCAGTACTGAAAATAGGTGTGGTCAATTTTTTTTTAAAATTTCTTTTTCGTTTCTCTTGGTTTATAATAAAAGGTCAATACGAAGTGTGATCAAGTTTCGAGACCTGCGGAACAACAGTTTCTAGGATTTAATTTTTTCTGCAATAAATAAATTATCACGGCGATATTGTAAGAAAGTGATGATAAGAAAAATAAATTATTACTTTCATTCCTTGATCTAAAAGCCAGTTGCGGATTGAATTTAATCCTCAACATAAGATCATTTTGTCTTACATTTTATTTAAAATATCCTTATTAATTATAAAAGATTCTCATCACCAAAGCATGATTCCAATAGTACATGATTAAGGAGAGTAGTTTAAAGAAGTCAAGATGTATTTATTATAAATAACCAACTATACTAATTTGTTTAATTTTTTTAAATTAGTTATCTAACTTTTATATTAAGCATTAGATCTAGTATTGTAAAGATTCTAAGTCTTGCGTCTTGTGTAATTCTGCCAATAACTGTAATACTGTAATACACAGGGCCCAAAAGAAAAACAGCAATTCAGTATTGTGTATGAAGAAAAATGTAGAAAGAAAATATTTGAGAGGCTAGTAATTTTTTATGGGGATGGCCTGATGCCACTGTGCCATATATATAAGCACCGGCAAAATTCTTACACAATCATTCTTTTCTTTCAACTGGTTTATTTTATAATATTTTAACAAGCAAAAAAAAAAAAAAAGGAATCTCCAAAGCTTTTGATATTATCAATCCCAATAATCTATTTTAAAGCATTTGTTTGGTTACAAAGGAAACATATTGGTACACGTGGGAGAGTTTCCTTTCTTTTCTTTTTCGTCAGTAACAACTTGGGAGAAATTTGAGAGAATGAAAATGCTTACAGCAAAAACCAAACTCAGATTTATCAATTCCATATAATTTAGATATAATGGATGTGACACGCGACTGTGCTACAACTCTCTTGTGATAATCCATTTCGTTATATCACGAGACTGAGCATTTTTTCAGTTCATATGCATAAGGCCCACACATCCACGGTAATATTCATTCATAAGAATCTTCAGTAAAAGGTAAAAAGAAACAAAATAGCTAAACATATAAAATAGATTTAAAACATGTACTGAAATTTGATGGCAACTTTACTTAATGCTAATACAATGATGATTATTTTATTAAAAAAGAATCCGATCACTATACAGAAGCATACGTGAGTATCTCAGTAATCCAAACATGAGACATGGTTTCAGGTAAGAAGAAGCTGAAAAGAAAAATAGCTCTACTTCCAGCAAAGGCCTTCTTTGTTTACCACCTTACAAGAATTTTTCTATACTAGTGGTCAATGTTGATTTTGGCACTGCGCCTATAACTGCATCTTTCTTCTCGCCGTTCTTGAAGATCATCACAGTAGGGATGCTACGAATACCATACCGATTCGCAGTTGAGGGGCTCTCATCAGTATTAACTTTGTAACACTTGAGCTTCCCAGCATATTCCTTTGCCAGCTCATCAATTATGGGGTGGATCATACGGCAGGGCCCACACCATGGGGCCCAGAATTCAACCAAAACAGGAGTCTCAGATTCAAGAACAAGGGACTGCCAATTTGCATCAGTAACAGGACCAGCTGCCATGTCCCCAAGAAAACACAAAATATTTGACTTCAGTTAGATTCTACTGAGATAAGCAAAAAGGTTTCGAATAGTGAGGAAGGATATCATAAGGATCTACATGCATTCTTATAATTGAAATGACGAGAAAGAAAGGCAGAATTCTGGAAAGCTTAGATGCTTGATAAATGAAGCAGAGTTGGAAGAAACTATTTCAGATTGGAATATCATAACAAGATCTTTCTTTGCAAAGAAATGCTCGCTAACTAGATGGTACGTACGGTGTAGTGCTTTTTTTATTAAGGAACTTAAAGCAAGCTACCCTATTTTTTCCGAAGTTACTAAAAGGATGAGAACTCTGCAACTGAGAACAGAAGCCCGATTTTCTAATTTCTGGTTGAACCATAATAATCTTGAAGAGATAAACTGAATGTAGAAACATATAAGAAATCCCATTAAAATATACGAAATACGCATCACCACCTCTTTCATATTTTAACCGTTCAAGGAACAAGCAGGTGCCAGAACGAAAGAAAAGGAGCGCACAAAAAACCTCGCAAAAGAAAACTCTATATGGCTACATGAGCAGAAAATCCATCAAACATGTAAAAAATCTTGAATAGCGTGTCATCTATCCCCTTGTCTCTCCATGAAAATAGAGATCGCATCACAAAAGAAAAGAAAGGAAATCTATTCAGAGGATCTATCACAGCAATTGAACTTATCATGAAGAAGCAAGACCTCATCTATATCAAGTACGCAACCCTATTAAACATGTTACTTTCACTATACCCACCAGAATCGTCAAACAATTAGTGTCAGTATTATACGTTCAATGGATTCAGCCGTTCCTCAAAATAAGTTTCCAGGATCAATGAAAAGCCCATATATCTACTTCTAAAGATTATAAGAAAACTCACGGATTTATCTCAATAATGTTCAAAGAATCGAAAACTACTTTTTTGCAGGTAATCGGGTACGCATAGTGCCTCTCCTGACAATAAATTCTACCCTCCCAAAGACTAACAAAGTGTGAATCTAAACTTAAAAAAGGAGATATTTAAGTTTCTTTTCCCATATTATTTCGAAAATCAACCAACTGAAACAATTAGAAACAAATTCAACAAATAACTGTCAACAAAAATAACAAGTTTACCCTTCACAGCAGTATCTTGAGCCTCACAAACGACACGTCCACCGCGACGAGCGATCCTCGAGATAGAACTCAGTGACCCATTTGAACGATTCGTTGCGATAGGTCTGAGCTTAAGGCCACCGTAGCGCGGGAGCTTGGCTGAGGTCCTAGGGCCGGGAAGTGAGGAGATAGAAGAAGCCGTGATGGGAGAGAAAGTAGCGGAAGGAAGAGAAGAAGAGCGAGAAACGGCGATCGGTTCAATTATGGTAGCCATTGAAGCAGAGGATCGGAGCTCCAGCAGGGGCTTGCGAGTGAAGAACTGGGAGTGTGGGAAGCGTACAGCGAGAAAGATGCTTTGAAAGAACGAGTTTTGTTAGACATCGGAGTTTTTCCGCTTGTGTGGACGAGGGGATGCAGGGATGGATCAGGTGGTCCCTCCGATTGTTTGACGTGGCCCAATAGGATGGTGCCGCGTCGCCAACAGTGATACTGATAATCATCATTATCCTCAATATATCAAATACCAATTTAAAATAACATGTTTTAATTTGTCTCCCTGGTTACGTACTCCATGCAATCGTTTTTATAAATCACTCATATTTTTTATCAAAATAAAAATCCTTAAAACTCGTTAATTTAAAAATTAATATTTTTTTAATTTTATCCATATTAAATCTTTTGAGAATTCAAAGAATTAAATCTTTTAAAAAAATATAAACCAATAAATTTACAAAAAATATAAACCAACATTGAACCAGAAAAACATGAAAACGAAATGATAACCGCATCTAGGTGCTTTTAAGGATTCTAGATTTAATTATGTACTGATACATGATCAAAATAAAACTCTGTTTAAGGTGATTTTAGATGTTTTATGGCTTTATCTAGAGAACATTTATCATAATTTTAATTATCGGTTAACTTATGGTGAATTTATTTCTTTGCCAAAAAAGAAAAATGATGAACTTTTTCTCTCTCTTTTTCTTTTTCTTGTATTTTCGGGTAGAAACCAGTATGAGTTCTTTATCTAGTCCAATCCAGCGATAGATTATTCTTGGTTCAGCCTAAGCGCATAATTTAGTTATCAGGAATATATCTCGAATTCATAACCTATTGAATTCAATAATTAGAAATAAACTTCAATTCCGGATACGAACCACTAAAAGCACTTGGAGGCTCTCATCCTACGGAAATTAGGTGACTACACCAAAAATAGAGATAATATAATAATCAAATATATAACTTTAATATAACATAATAGCCTGACTTTTGTACAATGACACTGCTTAGCCAAGACTAACATAGCCTTTTACAACCGACAGATGCAGAAAAGGAACAACATGGCAAAAACCAAACCAAGGAATAGCTCTAGAAAAGAAAAGAAAGTAGTCCTCAACCTCCTACACCAACCCACCGTATGCATCAAAAGTTGAGATTCCCGTTCCTGTGGAGTACATGAAAACCTAGTCAGTCCTACCAGGATGCTAATCATGCAACATAATCTATAAATCAAAACACTTCCATTATGTTGAAGGACACATGAGAAGAACGGGGAAAATTACAGAAACAGCTGCATGTAGATGAGCTCACGGAATGCTGAGAGTTCAGGACAAGTTTCTCTCACGCATAAGAGATTCTATCTTGCCGACATCCTCTGGAGTGTCGACACCATGAGCTTCGTGGTCCACTTTTATTACCTGCACGAGATCATGAAAGTTAACATAGGCACATGCTAAAGGTGATGTGCGAGATACATGATATCATGTGACTGATTAGCTCCATCAGGTGCTTATGATCACAGCTAAGAAGATCAGCTTTGTGATATCAGAAAGGGGGGAAAAAGAAAGGGTAATTGTAAGCTTTCCTAAACGCAACCTAACTTCGAGAACGGCATTTAATGAATTGTGATCTTGCACCATTTAACGCAAATGTGGAACTCCTTTTAGTAACTTCATGCAAAATATTTTACTATATTTGAACAACAATACCATTGCAGTCCGATGCATCCTAATTCCTGACCCAGAACTGGGTTTGCAAAGTTATAAACAAAAGCTATAATGCTTGTTAAGTGCACGCATAATACAGCAACAATAAAAGAATCCTGTCCACATCTAATAGCTTATCCTGGTTGTTGGCACCTGAAAAATCTAAGGCGTTTTATAGGCCATGCAGGAAACTTGGGGACCAGATGGTGTAGCTGTGTAGGACGCCTGACAGATTCTAATGGCAACCGCACTTGACCTTGTTAAGTTTTAACTCCATTTGATTTCCACGAGGTGAACATATAAAACGATTTCAGAATAAATATGTAAAGTTTTTTCAGTGATATAAAGATAAATCAAAATGGATTTGTCTCGAATTTGGGTACCTTCATCTTATAGCCATTCTCAAGGACTTTAAGTTGCTCCAGATCCTCCTCAAGTTGCAATGGAGTGGGCTGAAGATCTGGATATAATTTTAGGAACTTCGCATCATAGCTCTGGCAAACGGGTAGACAGACAATTAGTAATTCAAAATGAAGAAAATAGCAGTAATGAATAAACACGCTGCATTCAATGTTATGATGAACATTTTTTCCGTGAGTTTCCACTTTGGTACCTGAATTCCAAGGTGAAGCAGATAAGGAAACTGTGGATTGACCTTCCCTGACCTGCATCATTTATACAGACATGATCCTTATTGTTGAAAATGTAATTTTTGCTTCAAATTTGTACAATAATTTGAAAAGAAAGATGTATTGTGAACGTAAAAACAATTGAGACCAGAAAATAAAGACGTTAATTATTCATTTACTTGTTGAATGGGATCAGTCCTCGTGAAAAATAAATGGCATAACCACGATTATCTACTATACATTTCACTCGGTTTGGATCATTTGCATCTTCAGGTTTTAAAGATGTGACAGCAGTGCTAAACACTGCATCTGGAGCTGCCTGCAGGAAACACGATGAACTTCAATGTGACCACAAGGACAATCAATCCAGTAATGGCATGTTCTTCCAATGCGAAGATAAGATGTACCAAACACTATATTAAGAGAATTACAAATAATAATCATCACCTACGGCAGACATACACGAATCACCTGATCATAAAACATCTCTGTTTCTCCAGTCTCAAAAAAAGTAAGTGCAAAATAATATCTTACCTGTAATGCTTTTACAATACCATCTATTATCTCAGGCTCAACAAGAGGCTCATCACCCTGAATGTTGACAACAATATCATATTTTTTCTCAAGCTTTTGAAGGGCTTCATTGCAGCGTTCAGTACCTATTAAGAGTACAGGCATGAAATATGGCTCCAAAATATGAAGGCTTAAAATGGCAAAACATATTAAGGAATTAGTCTGATTACCATTTCGACAAGATTCTGATGTCATTATGACATCAGCTCCAAAATGTCGACAGCAATCAGCAATCTTTTCATCATCAGTGGCCACAACTAAGACCAGGAAAAAACTATCAATCAAGAACTGTCTTTAACACAATCCAGTTCTAAGCTTGATGTTCTGAATTCAATAGCCAAAATAGTCAAAAAGAAAAACAATGCAACGCAGTCAGGTACTGGCAACATTGAGGAAGTTCTACCCCTAGAAAGCCCACCAAGAGTCTTTATATGCATAAACCAGTGAAGAAACAATGACAACTGAAATGAAATGTTCACCCATCCAGTTCCAGGGTGGGTAAATGCATATTTTGTCTCCAATGTCCCTAAAGTGCAATACATACAGGACATACAAATGATAATGAAATTTGAACTGAATGATACCTTAAATCAAAAAGGGAAAAACCAACACATCTTGTTTAACCTTTCTGTAGCTATTCGCACTAATAATGTGCCAAAAAACTAGACCTACTGACATTCTTCAATCAGATGTATTTATTCATCTTTCCACTTTCAGGGAGTCATGCAGGCATTCTAATACATTGAAAACTATTTATGGCGTATTACAATTAGTTATGCATGTAGACCTACCAACATGATCCAAAGTAGAAGCCATTTTTGCCCTTTCCCATGTTCTCTGCAAAATAAAGACGATCGGATTCATCAGTTTTGATTGAAACAGAGAGAAAATCACTGAAAATAGTAAAGGTCGTAAAAAGGTGCTGAAATTATTAGTGCCAATGAGTTTACTATGCATAAACAAGGTGCTTAGCTGGTTCCCAAGAAAATTAATGTAGAGTGCGATAGTTGAAAGATTTAACAACAAATTTCATTATTTCCGTGTAAACACAACAAGCCTCAGGAGATCTTTTTTGGGTGGAATTACGTTGATTACATGCTTATTTTCATCATTAACCAGAGAAAACTGTACAAATATATCATACAAGTCATCCACTGGCAGCACAATTGGCAGCTAGTCCAAGCGAACTAAAAATCTACATCCCTTGTTTCTTTTTCAGAATTCAGGACACCCAAATAGCACCTGAGCAAAAAAGGCAATGGTCCTCATAATTTAGCATTGTTTTAGAATCGTTGTTTGAGAATTATTATGCATAAGTTCCATTTTCCCGATGTAGCTTCTCCATGCATGTGATTTTTCAATATGAAAATTCAACCAGGCGTTTATATTAAATCATGTGGTTTTGTTTCCTAGTGTCCCCAAATAAAATTTGACGAGCCAGTTACTTCCTGATAATTATAGAGGGACTATGTGAAAAAAAAAGCTTGCTGAAATATAAGTAATATAGACGGATGTAAGTTTTCCCAAAGGATGGAACAAAGAAATATCATTTAAAAAACAAAAATCTTAACTTTCTATTAATTTTACAAGAGCGATCGTTGGCCATCATGCATTTCCTATGACTAAAGTCCGAATATCAAAACTTTTTTGCATCAGAAAAAAAATTGTCTTCTGGATATATAAGAAAGAGAGGGAAGCGAGGGACTACCTGGATCATGGGCTTTCCAAGGATGTGAACGAGAGGTTTGCCCTGAAACCGGGACGAGGCGAACCGGGCAGGTATGATGCCAACAACGCGGCTCCGAAATTTCTTAAATCGATTGAAGTAAGCGCGAGCACCGACAGCAGCTGCGATTGCAACTCCAGCCGCAATGCCATGCAAGATCCATAGCTTAGCGTTGTTGGAAGATTCAGATGAAGAAGAAGAAGACGAAGACGATGAAGAAGAAGAAGAAGAAGAAGGGGATGAGCAAATAGCCATGGGCTCTTACGGCTAGTTTGATTGATGAATGATTATTCTTTTGTCTGCTTCATCGGTAAGAAGAGGGAGCAAGTCAACCTGGATATTGTGATAATCTGGAGCTTAAGATCTGACGCCATTAAATAATAAGATCACTTTTATGCTAATTACACTGATTATACATATTTCTTTTTTTCGCCAACTAATTATATTTGTTCTTCTAAAGTATTTTATGCACCCTATCTTTTTTTATACACGAAGAAAGTGAAATTATGGAACAAAAATAATAAATTATGAAACGGCTTATTTATGAAGCTCCATGGAAGGACCATAACCCATAATAATTTCTCTTAAAAAATTGAATTGGTGATCCGAATTCAATTGTTGAAGCCTCAAGTTATTGACCTAGGTGGAAAAGCTTTGCATGATTTAATATAACCCATAATAATTTCTCTCTCATTTTTGTCACATAAGATTTTGGAAGGAACACAATCAAATCCCATAAAAAAAAAATAATTACTAAAAAATCTAATAACAACTAAAACAACCTGAATGACAAATTCCAAAATGAAAAATAACAACATCTAGAACTTATTTTGTAATTTTTTTTTCCTTACATAAAACCTCATTGTAATTCTTCCTCAAATTTTCTTGTGGTGAATACCTACTGTAGTGCGTCTCAAATCTTAAGAGGCCATACCTGCAGGGAAGGGGGGGGGGGGAAGGGCCGTGTCAAATCTATTAACATCTAAACAATAACGGAAATGTCATGGAATTGAATCAAAATTAATCGTAATAAAAAAATATTTATATTTCAATGCTTTAATCATGATTCAACAGTTTTAACGGAAGTTGAGTTGAAGGCCATGCTCATCCAGATAAAATCTTACACACTGCCCGCAGAATGCGACAAAGCAGCCGATAACATCATCAACATCAACAATAATCATCGCTATGGTACAAATGCTTTGGTCCGTAAAATATTCTCAAAGGACAGCACTACCTCCCCAGGATATCACTTTTCGCTTTTCAAGTCGATTCTGTTTCCATCTAGAAATGCCGAAGCTGCTGCCTGCTCTAAATAATTGGACGTATGACGACAGTGAACTAAGAAGACATACATATAACCAAAATTGCAGATGTGGATGCCTCTGCGAAAACATAAAGCTCACATCCAGGAGTCAGTTGAACCAACTCGGGACTTTCAGGCGCAAGCATTGGCCTTTAGTCCCTTTACAAGTGTCCTCCAGCTCCTGTCACACCGAACAGATTGAAATCTATATGCCTCATTGTGCAAGTTAAAATCTCAAAACACTTGCGGTCAAAACTTGATAAATAAAAAATTGTCGCTTTTTCATTGTTTTCTCCTACTTCTCTTTTTAATACCGTTCTCTTTCCCCAAGACATTCTCTCCATTCCTTGTAATTCCCAAATGCCCATTTTCCTTTAGCTTCTTTTTGGGATTTTCCTTAAATGGAGTTTTTCTCTTCTTCCCTGAAGTGCTTTTATCCCCAGCAGAATCTCCTCCCCGAGGCAGGGGTTCTTCATCATCAAAATCCCAGTTACATAACATATCATGGTCTCCATAGTGTACTTGTAATGGCTCACCGGCTCCGGGAAGCAAGGCATTGAAAGTTACGTCCCCGTTTGAACCCCCTTTACGCTCCACCAAGACGGGGTCTGGTCTAATTATAGTTCCCAAAATACTTCTATTAGGGCCTAGGCTCAGAACGATATTGGGATTGGTCAGTGTCTTGAAAGCCAATGCAAAAGCTGACCTAACCTGCAAAAGCACTAAATTTCAGTCCGGGCTACCAGAAAGAATCCGCAAGTTGCATCAATCAACCACATCCTGCACCACTGAAAATGGATGGTTCAACAGAAGGAAAAGTGATAGGTTTAACTGTTTTAACCTTCAAACCAATAGGAAAAAGGAAACGAAGCTTTGCAGATTCAGTTTGATGAAACCCCATGCCAGCCCTTCTTAAACACCATTCATGTTTCTCACAAAAATGTGCAGCAAATCAAGGTATTTTGCATCATTCATAGGTAAATATGCCTATTTAGATAATGCAATAGGAAGGGACATGTGATACCCAAAAATGGGATATGATCAAAGGAAAAAGTGGAGCAAGAATAAGGTCCCATTGAAAGATTATCAAGTCAACATCTTATATACAACTTGCGAGAATAAAATGCCCATAGCAGAGCAATTAGTACATGAATTTCTAATTCCAGAAAAGATTGCCATAGTTTCAGGGAGTTACACAATGAGCTATACATAGAAGGGGGAACAATAAAGCCGGGGCGGGAAGTAGGAAGCTCAGTGCCATCTTCGCATTTAAAACAGAAAGAAAAATCCACTCGCATGGGTTTCCCCACTTTTAAATACCCAATTTAAGCATTAAAAATTATGTTCTAAGGAAGCCCCGATCTGTGTTAAGAGCTCTTGTTCCTCTCAGATGTCACTGGGACTTTAATCCCTGATTTGAATTAGTCAGTGCTTGGGATGTAGTCCCTCCTTTTAAACCCCATCCAAACCAAAAAAAAAAAAAACTCATCTGACCCTTGATGTAAGACCTATTCAACTAATTTGATTAGATTAAAAAAATTAGGTAAGTTAGCTAATTACAAGAGATATGACATGTTTTTTCTAAAATATCATAATCATTTTTCTTGATATCCTTCTTTCCTTTTTTTATCAATGGGAGTAATTTAAGAAAAATTGATAAATATAAAAAATAGATTTTACATTTAAGATTAAGACCAACTCAACAATTAGTTCTTACGTTAAGGACTGGAAGAATATTTTTTAAAGATAACATCACACCACCATGTACCAAGAAATGAGAAAAGGAACAAACCTGAAAATAATTAAACGAGTTCTTCCCAATGTCATTCTCAGGTGCCTGATTCAGCCAGAAGTGCAGCTTTAATCAGTCAACCACACCAATAATAATAACCCATGTTCAAGTTTCACTGCTTTGACTGTGATTGGACTGTAGTAATAAACAGAAAAAGCAAAACAATCTTCAGTGAATACCTGAGGATCCTCAATTGCCAAAAGACTTGGTCGTCCCTTGTTTAAAAACCTGAGAAATGAAAATGGGGAATACTTAGTCAGCTTTAATTCACGAGATGGCAGATATAACTGATCACTATGGAAACATATGTATAGTCTCGTCATTACCCTTTCTTGCTCTTCAAGAAAAAGGTACCCGTCCCATTGCAAGAGACACCAACATCTGCAGTGTTCAATTTGCGTCCATAGAAATCAAAAAAATTCACCTAATTTTCCACCCAGGGAAAAAGTCAACATAAGAGAATAGAAGTGTTAAAATATACTTCTCACTGTGTCCCACAAAGGGGGTTTTTAAAAATGCAAATTAGGATTATAATTTACGTCTTTTTTAGCAATATTGACAACACCGCAATAATTACTAAATTGAAGCATCCTAAAAATTGGAAGTATCCCCAAGACACCCTTTAGTGACCTATTCCCACCCATGAACCAAATAAACCAACTTGCTGTCAAAAGATACACACCAAAAGGACTCCCAAGTTGTGCTCTGCAGATACATGGCTCTCACGGTCATTCTGTAGCACATACAATAACAACATCTATGAAAACAGGACAAGTCACTGGGAAAAGAATTGTCAGATGTCTTATGCAATGCTAAATAACACACTGCATTATTCCAGAAGAAAGACCAATTCATGATTTATTACAGTTGGCCTATAGGTAGATCATATGTTAAATGAGGCAGCAGCACATCGAACACCAATATACAAACTAGAACCATAGAGAACGTTGAAAGCAGATTTTAGAATCACTTACTCGTAGCATTGCCATGAGCATGGCAAGGAGAGCATAAGAACCAATCCCACCGGAATATACCTGCATAATTTAAAGGGGAAAAAAAAAATCAATCAGGTAAACTGGAACACAGGTTGTAAGAAAAGAAAAAGAATTCTAAGTGACCACAGACCTCATTTAGTTCTCTTTGCTGCAAGAACACTTTTAAAATCAAACATAACGGTCGTAGAGGTGGCCATCTAGCCACTGCTTCCTGCAAGATCAACCATAACCATTAATTAACATTAACAAACATCTGAAAAAAATCTTCAATAACACAGCGAATAATCAACCCTCTTGCACACACATCAAAGACTATCATAGGCTCGCCATTTGGGTAACTCTGGAATAAACAAAAATCATATTCAAACTAGAAGGTGGAAATAGTGAACATACCTGAATATAATCAGCAGCCTTGGGTCCATTATCCACATCAAAACTGAATCACAGCATTTACAGTTAATAAGAAAAGATTGTTACAATGGATTTTGAATTTTGATTGCTATTCTGTGCATAATGATTAGCAATATGACAATCCCAGAGGAAGATAATAGAGCAACCATACGTGTATAAATAATGTAACCAACAAAGCATCTATGTCAGAGTAATATGGGCATGACTTGTGACATTATTTATAGTGATTAGTATGACATAGTATTGAGAGATTATATATGCTATTGCCTATTGGTATCCTAGCATTGTTGAAATCAAATCGAGTGAAAAAAGAAGGGACTCCTAATTGAAATGCAAATAATGCGAAGTGAATTCAGATTTATTATATTTAAGTTTGTAACTATCATACCATACTAAAGGGCCGTTGCAACCTCAGATGGAACATGTGCATCACTTATGGAACGAAAATCCTTCCCATTCCCAAATATACAATACAAGTGTTCAAAACTATGATATATAGCTTCATATTCTTAAAAGAACTTCCTTAGCTCAATATCTGATGGCATGCAATCCAAACTCAACAAAGCTAACAGATTATATAACTGGCAAGTTAAACAACTCATCCAATATCACATATGATGAAGATAACAGGGTCATCAGAAACAAGAACACATTTGACTATTATTAATCAGATTATATGAAAACTCCATCAAGATGGGAAAAAGACAAATAACAGATCTATAATGACGCATCAAGAGTAGCCATTTTAGGACACAAATTACAGGAGACGGCTATACCTTACATCAAATGAAACACCACTTTTCTTTTCAACGAATTTAATAATTGGCACTCGAGCCTTTCCAATTACCTGTGTGAGATTAGCAAGAAACATATTGAGTACATAACAGAAAAAATGCTTTCATTAGATTTTCTCAGCCATGACAATGCTGATATTTAAGCTAAGAGGGCCAGACCATGATATTTTTTGCAATGCCCCTTTGTGACAGTGCCCGAGAAAGTGCATTTAAGCCAAGCTGTGGACTTGGCAAGCCCGCCTTCAGAATCACAACCTACATTGAAGGATTTGATGAAGAACTAAACTAAGAAATTTGATTACAACAAAGGAACTTCAAATATGAACTAGTTATAGATTTTACTACCAGGGAAGCAACAAAACTTACATCAATATCACTAGTTGGAAGATATAACCCAGTCCTGAAAGACCCAAAAACTTCAACCTGGCAGTAAACAATCATGCAAAACTCCAGCACAACTCAATAGCCCACTAGAGTAAATTAAACTCAATGCAGTAATGACGTCAATAAATGGAGATGACAAAAGAAAAGGATACCTGGGAATGAGGCCATATATGTTTTATAACTTGAAACACAGATTCTATTGCTACGTCGCGTGCAGCTTTTTCTTCCAAAGTAGGTGACAAAAATTCACAAAAATCTACTATCTCTGCAGACCAAATATTTCAAGACATGTTAGCAAATCAGATATAATAAAATATTATTAACACTTTGCACTAAACGATTTCCTCTCAACATTTCATGCCTTGCCAAATTATCATGCACATATGACCAAACCCAGGAGTTACAGTGCAGCCATTTAAAGGCTTATTATTATCCTCAAGACTATTCGCCAAAAAAATGCATTACCGTCATACTTGCAGATGTATGTTTAAGATATACACGAGTTAAAAGCCGTTTCCCTTAAGGAGAAACAAAGCCAAACAGTCAAAAACTAGCCAATTACTTACCTTTATGCAGCTGAAGCATGGGACTCCTGAACTTGCAGTTTCCCCGAAACCAACTGCTCTCAAGCTTTGGCTCAGATACAAGAGCCGGCGTCTTCGGTTCAGTAGCTGCAACTGGTTCAGGCAATTGGACGGAAAGCGATTCTCGTTCAGAAACATCATCATTGCCAACTTCAAGAGAAAAGAAATCAGGGGCAGCAGTCTCCGGCGAAGGACATTGAAGGGACGACAGAGAAATTTCGTTCCGGAAAACAGTATAGGGCTCTAGTTCATCGGGACCTGCAGACTGGTCGGGGGTTGAAAGATAGAAGGGACTCAGGGTTTCGTAAAGGACGGATTTGGGGGTGTCAAAATTTTCATCCTCCATTGAAGATTATAACCAAGAACTTGAACAGAGCGGCAAGCAATATTGTGAAAATTAGGGTTTAACGGTTGGCTCTGAAGAATAGCAACGACTCCGGTCAGCAAGATGTTGCTCTCGCTTCTTCCTAGTTTCTTGATTCTTGATTTCTCCCGCGATTAGCCGCCTACGTACTAGGAGCGAGGACATCCCACTTGAGGTCTTTGATGTTCAAATGCCTCCCTTTTTAACTTACCAAAAATATAATTTTTATTTTAAAAAATTAAAAATAACATGGCCAGTCCACAAGTTTGGGCCCTTAGCCCGCCTTTAAGAAGTTGAAGAAACTCCAATCCAACTCGTCATGTTCTAGGGCGTTAACAGGCCGGTTTGCAGTCGACTCATTTGTCAGCCCAATCTTCAATTCAATGACCACCACATGACATTTGCATTCCTAAGAAGACCCACTCCTCGACATAAATCCCAAATCAACACTCTTTTGTGTGGGAAAAGAAATCAAACCGATGGCTTAAAAAACTTAAAAATTTTAGTTAAGATTTATAAATCATCCACAGATTTTGTTTATTTATTTAAAAGAAATCTGTAGAATGTGATCTGGAGACAGGTTATTTTCGATGACACACTAAACCGTGATTTGCATGCAAAATAAATACAAATAGTCCAACCAACAAAAAATACCAGTGCTTGGGGATTATTATACAAGTGAAGACAAAACCCTTATCATATATTTATCAAAAAATCAGAAAAATTATTTCTAAAAAACTATTTCAAATGTCAAAAATATTTTTAAAAAAATAATCAGATTCTCGAGTTTATATTAAGGGGTGTTTGGATACCTTGAAAAGTGCTTCTCGGAAATATTTTTTCACAAATCGAGATAAACTCTTTTACATATCACTTTAAAACCATGGTTTGTTTCCATTCAAACTGGTCTTTTTGAAAACAATCGCGGTTTTTATGATTTGACCGGGTAGATTAATAATTGAATAATATTATATGCATATATAAAATAATATTTGTATGAAAATTAAAATATTAAACTCAATTGTTTTTAAATGAGAAAATATGAAAAGACGAAAAGTGACATTTCACGTCCCTCGGAAGTCATATCCATTGGCAGATGAATCATTATATGCTTCCTCCCTGTTGTCAAAACCCAACAATCAACATCTTTCCTCATCTCCTTTCTTCTTTCCTATTTGCATTTCTCTTCCGGGGGGCTCAGGAGGCTCCACCGTATCATCATCCTCTAGTTATTATTGGGCTGCTGCTGTTTAGAGTTTCTTGTTTCTCTCTCTCTCTCTCTCTGAAACCCGTCTCCTCTTCTTCTTTGTTGAGCACTGGGTTCTTGTTGAAGTTTCATTTTTGTGCTCCAATGAGGTCCAAATCGAGATGTCGCCGCCGAAGCTGTGTCCGGCCGTCGGTTTCTCAGGCCAATGCTGAGCCTAGCCACTTCTTCAAGATCATACTTCCCGGAACCATTCATGCCCAGGATATGGTAACTCTTTGCTTTTCTCTCTGCTTAAAACTGAGAAAATGCAGAAAAGATCACCACCTGCTTCATCACTCTGTTTAACTTGTAATTCCTTACTCAACTCTTCTCAGAGTTGCTATGTAAACCTTTTATGCGAAGGGAAATGAAAGAAATCCGGAGAAAGTCTCTTCAGTAGCAATATTTTTTTGGCCCGGGGGGGGGGATGGGTTATTCTGTATTATTTCGAATTAGATGCGAGTTACTTAGTGCTCTGTTTTACGAATGCCAGTGCTCTGTTTTGTCTTTTTTGGGCTCAAGTTCGTGCTCTGTTTTAGCATCTCTTTATAGTATGTGATGTTATTTTCATTTGTCTAAACACTGTTTAAGTTATGTTCCCTAGTCCCTAGACTGATTTAATATCAAGATTTACCAAATCTAAGTAGAGGAGTGATCTGTCAGAGAATACCAAAGGAGTTCGTGAGCAGATTTGAGAACGACCTGTCTAGTGAGGCAACAGTTAGTGTTCCAGATGGTTGTATATGGAAGATGGAACTGAAGAAATCTGGAAACGAAGTTTGGTTCTGCAAGGGTTGGGACGAATTCGTGAAATACTACTCTATCAGTTTTGGCTTCTTTTTAATGTTTAAATATGAAGGCAATTCGCAGTTCGGTGTGGTTATCTTTGATATTAGTGCAGCTGAGATTCACTATCCCTACAAAATTAACTCTCAGACTGAGAAGCATAGAACAAAAAGAACATCCAGCTCTGATCAATGTGGCTACAACACAACGAGCCAAAGGCATGAGCTAGAAGAAGAAGAAATAATTGACCTAGACGATGAGACTGCATTAAACCTGGGTAAATCGGGAGACAAAGACAGATCTGAGCAAGGCCATTGTTCCAAAATGAAGAAGAGAAGTTTGAGTAAAAAGCAAAGAGCTATGGAAGCTGCCCAGAAGTTCAAACCAGCAAATCGATCTTTTACTGTAACAATAAGGGCATCTCATCTGAATCGTCGTTATCTGGTGCGGAATCGGGATGAGCTATGAATGTGATTGGTTTCTCACTTTGCTAGTGCGATTCTAACAAATGTAAATTCTGTTGCAGGATGTGCCAGCTTCATTTTGGAAGGATAATATGGGGAAGAAGAGTCCTACGAAGCTGCAGGACTCTAATGGACGAAAATGGGAGGTCAATTATGCTAAAAAGCAGACATCTATGCGAATATGGAAGGGTTGGATCAGTTTTGCAAGGGCCAACAATGTGAAGGAAGGAGACGTCTGCGTGTTTGAGCTTATCAAGAGGAAAGACTACATATTTCGAGTTACCATATTTTCCTGTTGAAGATGCGCAGAAAACTTGTTTAGTTTCTTGTTATTATCATTACACTGTCTCTTTTTTCTTCATCTTTCTACTCATCTGCCTTGTAATACTCGAATGGTTCTGGTTCTGGTTCTGGCAGAGAGCTTTGCAGCACAGCATTTCAACGTCCTTTTGAATCTGCATGTTTGGTGCCATCACTTCGGGTTCTCTGTTTTCATTGTTTTATTACGTGATTATTTTTATCGTTTATTGATTATTACAAGTGATTTATGTATTTACAAATATAGAGTGATATGCATATGTTCAAATGGTTTATTCAACAGAAAAAGAATAAGAAGAATTATAATGAGATCTCAAACAAGAAAAATAATTAAAAAACAAATTTTAGAGATTATCATTCTCACTATAAGACTTATTATTATAAGTTGTTAAGGTTGTTATTAAGATTTTTCAGTAATTATTTTTCTTCTACGAAGTTTGATTGTATTTTTTCTAAAAGAATATGAGCCTATAAAGATTTTACTGTATCTCCGGACTAAGATGAATGATGATATTGTAAATTGATAATAGCTTTCTTGACAATCTAATTCTACATGGAAATTAGGGGGTTTGGGATTAACTTTTTAAAAAAATTTTGGATTTTACGAAATTTGAGATTAATAAGTAAAAAAAGTTGTCTTGATTTATATAAAAAATATTTTTTTGAAATCAACGCCTAATATGAAGAGTCTTAGTAAAATAAACATTATTTCAATGTTAAATATATGATTCATTTTTTACCCACAGTGGGGATAATTATTTTGTCTAAAAAAATTGATGGGTTGACATTTGATTGATTGACAGATGGTAAAGTACGAGTCGGAGTGAGTATTGTACTATTGTTACTGCCTGTAGGCTATAGATTATAGAAGACGATTCTACAGTTAGAGTTTACGAAGCCACTTGCGATTCTTCTGAGATACGAGGACTAGGCGGAGCTTGGAGTGGAAGCCACTTACGGTTCCAATGGGGCCTCGCCGTAGAAACTTCGTCCGGCCATTGGGGTCTCCGGCTGATGCTGAATCCAGCCACTTCTTCAAGATCATACTTCCTGAAACTATTCGTGCCCAAAAACTGGTAAACTCTTCGCTTTTCTGTCTGCTTACACACCGAGAAAATGCAGAGTAGGGCTCCGGCTGCTTCTTACACAGTGTTTAACTTAAGGATCCTACTCAAGTCTTCTAATAGTTGCTATTTATGCTTCTCATGCTAAGAGAAATGAAAGAAACACATGGAAAGTTGATAGAATAGCAATAAAAAAAAAAACAGTACAAGAATTGGGCTCGTTGCGTGTGATTTCGAATGAGTTTGTGATTTACTTGTTGGTATTCTAATGAAATATAGCAAATAGTATAGGAACTCAGGATATTGCATTTTTCGTATAGCATTTAGGCTATTTACGTACCCTATAACTAATTAAGAGAAGTAGAGATTGTGTTTGTCGGTTAGTTCAAGAATTTAAGCTGGAAAACTGAGTGCTCTGTTTGTTTTCTGTTTCAAGTTCGTGCTCTGTTTTGACAGGCAAAGAAATATTTCTTATATTTATTAATTCCTTCTAAATTACTCCTATTAATATTTTTTCAACCATAATTAAGTTTATATTTAAGTAGAAGTAAAAAAGAAAGATATTAAAGATGGTGGTTATGGTATCTCATATTTTTTATAATTAACTGACTTATTTAATTTTTTTAATCTAATCAAATTAGTTATATAAATTAAGTTAGGATTATCTGATACTATATTTTGATGAACATCTCTGAAACACGTCTCTCCCTCTTGATTTTGTCTCTCGCTGAAACCAAAAAGGAACATTCTGACTAACTGATGGAACCATTTCATTCTACAAGGCTATGGAGAGCTCGACTATTCCAATGCTCGACCTTTTTCTTACATTTATCAGAAGTTTGTCTTACTCCATTGATTTAATATCTACCTAATTAAAGGAATGATCCTGCAGAGAATTCCCAAGGAGTTCGCAAGAAGATTTGAGAATGAACTGTCTACTAGTGAGGCAACGATTGGTGTACCAGATGGTCGTATCTGGAGAATGGAACTGAAGAAGTCTGAAAAGGAGGTTTGCTTCTGCAAGGGTTGGCGGGAATTTGTGAAGTACTACTCTATTAAATTTGGCTTCATTTTAGCGTTTAAATATGAAGGCAATTCACACTTCTCTTCGGTTATCTTTGATGTGAGTGCTGCTGAGATTCACTATCCACTATGCAAAGATAACTCTGAGAAGCAGAACTTGGAATCCAAATGTCCTGGAAAAAAGTCCGGTTTTAATCACTGTAGCTACAACACAAGACGCAAAAGGCATGAGCTTGAAGATCAAGAAGAAATAATCGACATAGATTGTGCGAATGATCTGAGCCCTGGAAAATTAGGAAACAACAAAAGTTATAATTCTGCCGAGAATTCAAGAAAGCAAGAGAGAAACCGATCTGGGCCAGGCCGTTCTTCCAAAATGATGAAGAAAACTTTGAGTAGAAAGCAGAGAGCTATAAGAGCTGCCCAAAATTTCCAACCAAAAAAACCATCCTTTACTGCAATAATAAAATCACCAAATCTGACTGCTCGTTATATGGTAAGGGAAATTCTATGAGCCATATAGGAATGTGATTCTTTCACAATTTCGTTAATTCGCTGCTCACTAATGGATGCAGGATGTGCCTGGGGCATTTTCGAAAGCTCATCTGGAGAAAGTTGATTCTGTGAAGCTTCAGGTTTCTAATGGAAACGATGGGCAGTTAACTGTATTAAACAGCGTTCAAATGTTCGAATGTGTGGGGGCTGGATCGATTTCGCAAGGGCCAACAATCTGAAGGAAGGAGACGTCTGTGTGTTCGAGCTTATCAAGAGGAACAACTTTGTATGCAAAGTGACCATATTTGCCTGTTGACGTCCAGACCCTTGTCTATATCGGTTCTTCTTATTGGACTGACTCTTCTGGGCTGATTTTGTTGGTGATACCGTCTATCTTCATGCTTCCCCCCCCCCCCCCTCTTTATTCCTTTGTGGGGTAGGATTGTGTGTAAACCTAGGAACTGGACATTTTCGCGTTTGAGCTATATGTTTGCTTCTATGTGATGTCTCTTTTACATTAAAAGGGCAAATACCAACATGATGTTAGAAATGAAATGAAACCCGTGACTTCTAATTCCAAAAACCTATCGTAATACTAAATTACAAGGTCGTTGACTTTTCCATGATGTCTCCGTGAAGAATGTCGTGGTAATATAAAAATGGGCTGGCCATCTATTTAGTATTAAAATATCCATTTTTTTTTTTTGGCCAAAAGATTAAAATATCCAAATTGAAGGAACGAAAGGACGAGAGTTGTCAAGTGAAAAAAAAATAGTATGAGATTAATTTTTTTTCAACAGATGGATGTCAAATTGTCAATACTATGGTTAGTTAATATGATCCTTATTATTCTTGCCAGCTAATGTGTCATGCAAGTGTATGGCTAAGTTTTGCTAAATCTCAGCCTTTATCAAGCTCCTAAGTAGGGCAATCAATGAATGAGGCTGCTCTTTCCTTTGTTTATATGTTTTGCTAGCTGTGTCCAAATAGTCCAAAGGGAAGAAATGGATAAGATAAATCATAGAACTTTTTTTCCCCTTGAACCTTAACTACCTATAATTAGAACATTAACAACCCATGCAGTCTGATGACAGATTTCCAAGTAACAAACTTTTGTGACCCCATAAATTAACCAACTTCTTCATTCACTTCAATTCAGAGAGCACAAGCATTCGTCTCTTACAGAAACAAAACGCCCACAATAATGGCTGATCAACTTTCAGATTCTCTCGCAACCGTCAGATCCTCATCAGGAGACGACATTATCATCGGAGATTCTCTTCAAACCAGCCAATACGCTGTCACGTTCGATCTTCGAACCACCATCATCATCGGCTTCTCCGTCTCACTCTTCTTTTGCGTCGTCTACCACATTCTCTGCAGCTTCTTCTACCGGCTCATCGACACCAGGATTTACCATCATCGCGACGTCAACGTCGAAGAAGGAACAGACCTAATGCCCGTCGACGGCGATACGTCGCGGTCGCAGCATCAGGTGGCGCTGTTTCAGGCTCTGGTTCTGAGCAACATGCAGGCTTGGGTGATGGTGGGAGCATTAATGGAGGATTCTTCGGAGGAGGTGGACGAGAGCAGAGGGGAAATCCTGAGGGCGATGCAGAAATTGCCGGCATTGGTGAAGTACGGAAGCGAGCATAATAATGAGAATAATGAAGTGACAAGAAATTGTATGGATTGCGTAATATGCTTGGAGGACTTTAAGGTTGGCGAACTGTGTCAGGTTTTCCCTAGGTGCAATCATGTGTTTCATTCGAGTTGCATAGATTGTTGGTTGGCCACCAAGCTTACGTGCCCAACTTGTCGGGGTTGCATTACATGATCCAAGCAGGGATTATGTTAGAGACAGGTTATGTTTTTTTTTTTTGGTCCCTGTTTGTGCATGAGGTCAAGCTCTGTTGTAAGTTGTTCATCATCAAATTGTGGGCGGTTGCAAATTTTTTTTAATCAGCGCCGATCTCAAATTTCTTATTAATACTACTTCTGTCTAATTATAAGAGCTAGTTGATTAATTTAAATAAATTAAGAAAAAAAGTTAAATTAGTTATTTGTAATAAATAGGTGTTGTTTTTTCTAAAATATCTTTGTTAATCAAGTGTATTAGCTAGAATGACTATTGTTAGAAGGACTTTTTTAGAGAAAAAAATGCATAAATATGATAGACAAAATAGATTGGGGTTTTATATTTAGGATCAAAATAAAAATCAAATAAGATCTTATATTAAGGATAGGAGGTACTATATAAAAACTGGATAATTAATTTACAAATATTAAAGATATTAGTTAAGTTAGTTATTTGTAATGTATTAGTATTATATTTAAAATCAAATTAAAAAATTAGAGGAAGTTAGAAGACAATGAAATGATTTTATTTCACAAAATATAGAGATGACATCGCAACTCCTTCAAATCATAAATTTCATGGTTTCGTCTATGCATGCACTTCATAATGCATACTAGTATAATGAAGCAAACTCCTCTTATGTTTTTCATCGAGACCCATATATGTCTGTATATCAAAGAAAGAATCACCATAACACATCAGACGGAAAAGAGATCGTTGCACCAAACAAAACTCCCCCAATCCTTAACGTATGATTTAATTATTAAATAGATATTGATCCTAAATATAAATTTTTATTTTGTTTTCGACGTAAATTAGAGAGAGAAATAATTTTTTTTCTTACTAATGTTTTGTTTAAATTTTAAATGTATTAATAAAGCAATAAATGAGTCATTATAATTTATTTTGGGTATTCAAGTTTGTCATAATATGTGTATACCCGGGTTTCAGATCCATATTCTTCTTATTACCGTCTGTTACACTTTTGAAGTTTTTTTTGCCAACTGTTACACTTTTTACTTTTTATTTTTTAATACAAGTTACATTTTAATTTTATTTCCTTTGCATATAAATTTTTTTTTTAAAAAAAGCGCAAAATGTTCACATTAAAAAGTGTCTCTTGGCATTGCAATTGATATTATTGATGATCTTGCTAAAAAGCATTGATTGAGATTGATCTTGTTATTGTGAGGTAAAAAATAGATCGATAATGTTATTGATTTTTATGATTACGTTAAGACAATGTTCTCTCCAGGGGGAAAAAAAACGTTACGTTAATCAATAGTTTTCCTTTTTGATGAACCTGCAGGATTTTAACTTTCTAAAAACTCTGATTTCTGGAGACTCACCATCTTCATTCCGGCGACTTTATCGGCATTCCTTCTTCATCCCCAATCATCTCCGTCAGTCTCTACCATTACTGTCATTTTCACACGCAGCTTCGTACTCTTCCAAGATCTGCTTCAAATCAATCACACAAAAATAAATCCACTCAACGACTCCCATGAATCACAGCAACAACGACGGCGACGACCATAACAATGTGAACGTGGAAGAAGACCCGACGACGGCCTGCATCGCCGCCATTGGAATCGCCTTACTCCTAAGGCTTATGTGCCTCATTTTCGCTATTCCTCCAGTCCTCGCCGTCTTCATCTTCTGCCTCGCCTCGATCACCTTCATACAGTTCTGGTTCAGAGAAGATGAGCCGGAGATCGAACACATGGAGGATTTCGACTTTACGGGCAGAGACCTAGAAGACAACGAGAAGGCAGTGAAGTTTCTGGAAGCATTCTTGAGGGCATTGAAGGGGAAAGAAGAAAGAGGAAGAGACGGGAGAAAGAAGAAGGAAGGGTCGAAGAACGCGGAGGGTAGCATTAAGTGTTTCGGGAGCGAAGAAATAGTGGAATTAGGTTACAGGGAGTGTTCGATTTGTATTGATGATTTCCAGAAAGGAGAGAAGTGTCTGGTTTTTCCGCGTTGTGGCCATATATTTCACTGCAGGTGCATAGCGCGCTGGGTGAAGTTGAAGATGAAGAAACTGACGTGTCCAGTTTGTCGTTGCAGCTTCGGCTCGAATGCAAACGGAACCGGAGGATTCAGAAGGTGCTCATGCGAATTTGCGGCCCCTTGTCCTGCCACTTAATTTTCTGATTATGGGCAAATACTTTTTTCCATATTTTTAATACTCCTCCGGTCCTAATTATAAGACCCAATTGACTTATTTGAGGAGATTAAAGAAGTAAGTTAAGTTGGTTATTTATAATAAATAAGTGTTGTCATTCCTAAAATATCCTTGCTAATTAAGTATATTGGCTAAAACTATCATTATTAGAAGGATTATCTTGGAAAAAAATGCATAAATATAAGAGACAAAATGGATTGGGTCTTATAATTAGGACCAAATAAAAAGTCAAATTGAGTCTTATAATAAGGACCGGAGGAGTATAATTTTTGGTCCTTTAAATTTGGATTTATTTTTATTTTAGTCCCCAAATTTTAAATCATAATTTTATCCTTAGAATTTAGTCTGTCTTGAAATATTAGTCCCCAAAAGTGTAATAGTCTTAAAATCTACTAAAGTATCATAATCAATATTAAAGTGATGGTGTAAACTCACTAGATGGCATTTAACTACTAAATCTTGTATGGATGATAAAGAAGAAAACCTGTTTTTTTCTTCCTCATTGATAGTTTTCAAGAGTTGTTCACTGTGCTGCATTCTGTTATTCACGCAAGATCCGGTTAAATATTATCTAATAAGTCCACATCACCACTTTTAATATCATTGATGACAATTCAGCATATTTTAATACTATTGCATTGTCAAAGACTAACGTTTTAAAACAGACGAAATTTCATTAAAATTTGAGATATTAAAATTAAAATGAGTTCAAATTTAAAAGACTAAAAATTATATTAATCCTTTTTTATGGTTAAATTCTACGTAAAATACATAAAAGTTTGATATCCCATAACCAAATAACGGTGCAATTTTTATTTTTAACGATTCTTTTAAAAAAATTGTACTCCTCCAGTCCTAATTATAAGACCCAATTGACTTATTTGAGGAGATTAAGGAAGTAAGTTAAGTTGGTTATTTATAATAAATAAGTGTTGTCATTCCTAAAATATCCTTGCTAATTAAGTATATTGGCTAAAACTATCATTATTAGAAGGATTATCTTGGAAAAAATGTATAAATATAAGAGACAAAATGGATTGGGGTCTTATAATTAGGACCAAATAAAAAGTCAAATGGGATCTTATAATAAGGACCGGAAGAGTATCTTATCATCTTATGTACCATTTTTTTGAAAAATTATAAAACATATTTAAAAAGTGGGGAAAAACTAAGAGGCAAGAGAAGGGGCAGCCCAAATGATGTTTGCGTTTGCATAAGTTGACGATGATTTTAATTTTTGTGGGACCTTGAAACTTTATGATTTTTTTGAAGAATCTGAATATCATATACATATCTCAATAATATATCATATTCCCGGCTTATGTTTTTGTAAATTGCAAATTGTCACCTGTTTACGAATGACGCGATTTTTTTGTTGAAATTTTAAGTACCCCAAGTCTTCATGCGCAGTGTTGCCAAAAAAAAAAAGGTCTTTATGCACAAAAGTACTTGGTTTTAGTTCTCTTGGGTCAAATTGATCATACGATGGTCATTTTTTTGGCCCAAAAAAAAACCTCTTATTAATATGGTAATTTATTTAAAAATTAATTATTTAAGATATATTTGGATTAGCGATGATAGCTCTAAAAGTACTTGGGAATTTGCAAAACTGACTTTTGAATATTAATTAGAGCTAATTGGTTGTTTGGTTTGGCTCTATGCCTAACCAACTTTTGCCTTAAAAGTTGGTTGCGAGAGATCGGTGAAAAATTGAGCTTTTGCACGTGTCAATCTGGAGAAAGAAAGTAAATAAGAATGAAAACAAAGATAAAGATATTTAATTGGGTCTCGTGATCTAATAATTTGATTTTTTAAATAATAATTTGATTTTTTTCATTTATTGTTTTTCTTTAATTTATCAAATTATATACATATGATATACTGTCCCATGTTCTTAATGTAAGACTCAGTGGAGTAATTTAAAGAGGTTAATACTTAATTATATTATATATTATATGATCTCTCTAAAATATTTATGCATATCATTAGATTATAAATTAATTTATAAGTCGGAAAAATTAGTCTAGAGAAAAATGATATCTTTTTTAGTCATTTTATATTTAAACTTACTTTTTCATTACTTATCGAAACAAGTTTTAATTTATTAAACTGACTTTTATAAAAATTAATCTACACATAAATAACATTACACTAATTGACTTTACTCTAACTCACGTTTGGAAAAGTCAGTTTTATCATTGCTAATTTAAACACACTTTTAGTTTTTAAAGATTTGGCTCGACTACAACTTATTCATTGAATAATAAAATTTAACTCGTTTTTTTATTTTTAGTTATTTAGTCCGCTAACATTTTATGACTTTAAGAAAATGTTCGGGGATTAGACCATTTGTATTCAGTTTAAATTATTGATATTTATAAGAATAAAAATAAATAAATGAATGTATGAATTTAAGTTATGACTCCAATAAATTGCTGTTTTTTTATGTTGTTGCAATACTTACGTTTAATTATGCGGTGTGAAAACACATTTCTTATTTTCTATAAAAACCTCTTACAATTAGCTTATTTTCTTTTTCTCTTTTTGAATCGAAAGCAGATACTAACGGCTTGAAATTATGAGTACGATCGAATTCACAACATTTCACTTATAAGTTATAGAAAAGCTTTTATACTAATAAACTTCAACGTTATTAACGAAATTAGCTTATTTTCAACTCTATGAAAAATGAACACTTGAATATAATATCATGCGTTAAGAAGTTCGCAAACACCTTTTACGGAATTTAATCCACATGTAGTTAAACTTTGAAGTTTAGAGGGGGTGTTTGGTTTACTTAACGGGATATTTATGTTAAAACCAAATCATAGTTTTAAAAGTACTTTTAGGATATACGAAACAAATATATAGACTAGTTTGCTCGGTTTTACAGAAAAGTATTTTTTAAAAACACTTTTACTTGTTACCAAACAAATACTTTTCAAAAGTGTCTTTATGCCAATCAGGATAAAACTCTTCTACCATACTTCGTATACTGTAAAATCATTTTTAAAATTACGGTTTGGTTTTTAACCAAACTTCCGCTTAGCCGCAAAAGCAGTAACACTTGCATCGATCAGGTTTCCAAATTTATTCATACACGTAATATTGCCATTACAGAACTTTATAGCTTCTAAATTTTGGGCGTACCTTCTTCTACCTCAACTTCTTCAGCTTCTTGCGTCCCTGTAGGCACCATTTCATATGTATCAGACCCTCTAAATCTGGAAGGAAGAATAAAAGAACCACCAAAACGTTGCTGCAAGTAGATAACGAGAACAAATAGGTGGCATCCCACAATAATAGCCAAGTCCCAAGCAGTGGAGTAAAAATCTGCACTTGGATCAGCATACAAATAAGATCCACTATATTGCCTATCATACTGAGAAGTCCTGTAAAGATCATAAACATGTGGTAGTATCCTCAGAAAACTAGTTCCAAGGTAAAATATACCACAAAGTGCGTCCTTTTTCATATTTGAGAGCATGTTCATCAGGATCTGAGGCAAGAGAAAGCCATCATTTACCAATCCTCCATAAGATTTCAAAACCTCCCAAGATGAAGTTTGCTGGTAATTTGAAGACGCTGCCGCCAAATAATGATTATTTTTGCCCTTGCCCTTTAGCATTGCAATGAGGAAGCCAACTGCATATGATGGTAAAGTCACATACATAGCCTCTTTCTCAGCAATCCAGAGGCTGTCCTGAGTGACGTCATCAGTGCTGTTTCTTGCAGACCAGGTAAGCTGAAGGAGACGAAATTGCATCAAGAAGGCTACCATAGTAATTAGCCTAACTATTATTTCATTAGATTCAAGCCATGCAACACTTGAAAGAACGAAGTTTTTAGCATTGTGATTTTGAGATATGAGAGCTTCAAAGTTCAGAACAAGAGGGATCATGTGGGACAAAGTGAGAATTGAGAGCATGGTAAGTGAGATGAAGGGAAGGACTTGAGGGTTCTTCTTCACATGACAGAGCTGGAATCCCACAAGAACACAATGTACAGTGGCGGATATCAGAACCATGATGATCTCCATATCCATTCTCTCAACAGTTTCTCTTGCTACCTCCTTGTAAATTGCAGCAGAACTTAGGCCCAGACTATTGAAGTGAAGAGGATCTGATTTATTGCGCGTGCTTTCTATGCTTCCCACAATGTAGCCTGCAGACCTCAGGTGTAGTGGTGGGAAGCGAAACTTCACCAGAATCTCACAATCCACAGAACGAGACATTGGAATCACATTATTTGATGGGGGAAGAATTCTGCAGCCAACCATACATAAACTTCCTGCTCCTGCATCATAAACTCCTTCTGCAGAAATCGTCACAGCCTCATTGTACATACTGAACAAAGATTTTTTGTCCCTTAATGTTCCATTATCAGACAATGACATTCTGATTTTGTAGCTAATGTTAAACAAGCCACTTGTGATAAAGTTGCCTGTAGCCGATTTTGTAGAAAGTACCAAGTCATAGAACTGATCACCAACAGATAAAGGAGCTGAGTTACCCTGGGCTACTTTTCTGATGGAATCTCTAACTGACATATCAAATTGCATGTTATAGGAATATGGATTTGGATACCTTCTTCCCTTATTGCTGACATTGGGTCTTGGGCACAAGCTTTTGACTGTGTCTTGCTGGGTATACTCGTACTCTAAGGCTTGAACATTTACATTCTGATCATCTTCGTTTCTGAAAGTCACTCCCTTGAAGAAATCAGGGTCTTTCACAGTTTTGTTGCTCCATATCTGCCCCACAACGGTACTGGTGTCTTTGATTGACCAAATAGATGGGAATCTTAGTTTTAATCTTACTGAGCAATCGCCCACATGAACACTAGAGAAGGATGAAGATGGCAAGCCTAGAAAATGACAAGCCACTACGTTCAAATGATTCTTCTTTTCATCCCACCAACCTTCTCCTACTAACGTGGTTTTGGGATTGAAAACATTGGCACCATAATCTTCATAACTATGATTACCAAAATTTATCAAAATCCTCAACTGTTTCTTCTTGGTGAAAGTACATTCAATTAGAGTCAAAGATATAGAAGGTGGTAAAAACCCAGGAATCCCACTAAATGGAGTACAATTCTCTTGAGTATTGCAGTCGCCAGAGTACTCCAAATTAAGCTGCCTAATTGATGCCCAAACACGAGATGAGCAGAAAAATTTCATGTCTATGTTATTTTCTGGTAAGCCCTTCTCACCATCACCATCCATCCCAACATGCGAAAACTCATTTTTCGATTCTGCAGAATCCAAGGTAAACTCATAGTTGAATCGTGGAATCATAAGCACAGGATATGTTTCAAAATCAAATCTTCCCCTCTTCAATCTATCCAAGCTTCCACTAACCAAACTACTGATATTACTTGAACTGAAGACATTGCTGAGCTTTAAAACAACATCTATATCAAGAGTCTTACCTCTTCTCGAATAATCACTGCCTGAACCAACCATACAGATCTTCCCCGTGGACTCAGACCAGAACCCATCAAGCATTATTGTCACAGAACTACGACGACGTCTATAATACGACGAGCGACCATAGCTGAAATTTCCAACATGGTAATAGGGACTGATGCTTGTAATTGATATGGATCCTCTGACTTTGAACAAGCCAGCGACATCAGTCTCTCTGAAGCGCCCAAGCCGGAGAAAGATTGAGTTTTTCTGAGAATAAGGATTAGCGCCGAGAAATCTATCGGCTCCGGTGAAATAAGCTGTCTGTAAATGATGATCGACGGAGATAAACCTTGACCTGTAATATCGGACATTTGCCTCAGGGACTATAGAAGCACAGTGGCCTTTGTAATGGATTGGCGAGGCAGTGGAGGAGTGGACGTTGAAGAAAAAACACGTAAGAAAGAAAAGGAAGGAGGAGAGAAGTGGAGGAGCCATGGCCATAATCTGAAAGGAAGACAACAACTAAATTTGTGAGTTTACCACGCCTTCAACACTTAGCAATAAAAGGAGACTAGAGAATTCAGACATGGACCCGTTTCTTACTGCAGTCTCTCCATTTTAGGCGCCAAACCTACGTTGTGGTGATTGAATCACGTCCGTTCATTTCATCTTCAGCGTTATACTTCTAATCTGTTTTTTTCCTCCCTTTTATTTATCCTGAATGTAAATATATATATATATATATATATTTATCTGTCAGCATAAGGTACCGTTAGTTAAAATTTATTAGTGAAGACAAATTTCTGATTTAGTAAAATTTTAAAGTAGTTTTATTTTTTCTTCTTGAGATTCCGAGGCTGACTTCTTGGAAGTTTTCCCTAGTGCTCCTCTGTGCGATCCTCCCCTATTTTGACCATTTTAATTTGCTTTAGTAATTCATTGGGCATTAAACCTTTAAAGTAATATAAGTATAAATGAAAATATAATTAAAAAGGAATCATGAATATATTATTGAAATTCTTAAAAGAATAGATAAATAAAAACAAGGAAAAATTATTCATAAATATCTGTTTGAAAATGTTATTACTCATAAATTATAATAAGCACGTGAATTTGAGTATCAATACTTTTTAAGTACAAAATCATTAATACTGGTACTTATGAATAACATAATTTTCAAACAATTACTTGTTGATAATTTTCTCTAAAACAATTTTTTTATTATTTGGAAAAGGACAATAAAATAAAAACAAAGGGAATGGATATTTGAACAACAGGATTCAAGAAAACGAAGTGTAGGAAGTAGGAAACTAGTTCCTAGGAAGGAACGCTTGTTCGGCAACGCTATTAGACGGCACGACAAAACCGTCGCTGTAGGATAGCCCCATCAAATTCTGCGCAAACTGAATACAAACAGAGAAAAATCTCGAGGAGGAGTTCTCCATTTGAAGTATCGAACCGGCTGGGAAATTCCTTCATGCTGAAATCGGAAGTCTCAATTGGTCTATGGAAATTTTGATCATTGGAAGAGCTCACGTTTTGAGGTAAGATTACAAGTTTTGGTAATCATAACGAATTCATTGCCGAGTAATTGCATAAAATTAATACTACCGTTCGATTCTTAATATAAAACTTAAATAATAAATTTTAAAAAATTAAGAAAATTAATTAAGTTGATTACTAATATAAAAAAATTATTAGCTTTTTATTTTATCATATTTATTTATCTGTATTGAAATTATCTCTTGATAAAAATACCTTACAATCAATAAGAATATTTTGAAACAATATAAATTAAAATCTTACATTTATAAGCAAATCCAATTTCTATGAATAATTGAGTGCTTCGTGTTTAAGGTTCCTGCAATAGTAATGAAGCGGGCGTGTCTTTGGCATTATAAAGTTGAAAGGATCGAACTTTTAAAGCACACATTTGCAACCATTCTGAAATTTTCTATTCGATCATCTCATTCATTATCCAGAATCCTTAGGCCTACGCACGTAGAAAAAGGATAGAGAAGCAAACATTGAAAAGTTGTCTATTGTCATACAAAGCATGAAAAACCCACTGGGATTGAGTCCTCATTTCTTTCAACCCCAGGAAATACACACAAAGTATCCCTTTTGCTCAAACTCTCGAGCATGCACAACAGATACAACAATACATTGTTTGAGGAGCAAAATTAATCCATCAGTGTAAAGACAGATTACCTCTAAATTAATAACCCTCTTCTTTTTTCAATTTGAGAAGGTTCCAACGAACTTGCCAAGTACGAGGCATATTACCATTTAAAAAGAACGGGTATCAACATTTTCAAAATGGTAATATACGTCAGGAAAGAATGCAATTTACAATTTTAAAAGAAACCAAAAGGGGGCCAAAAAAAAAGGAGTGAAAAAAAAGAACTAAAATTGTCGTGGGTTATAAATTAACAATTCCTACTTTGCGATGGTGCTTTGAACTTGATCTCCTGTCTCCTCTGGTGCGCCTTGGACTCTTCTTTGTGTGAAACTTATTCGTACGAGGAGGAGCAAGTGGACGATGAGGAGGTAGCCGATGAACTGGAGGGGCTGGAGGAGGCATATGCTCCAGCAAATCTCTATGATAAGTCTGAAATTATAATAACAAAACAATACAAAGTTGATTAGTTTCAGAATTGAGGCATATACAGATTCTAGAAGATATAAAATCACGTTTATCACAAAAGGTAATTAAATGCATATATAAGTTTCAAACTGTTCAACTGCACGGCATATTTAACTCATGGGGCTAGCTTATGCAGGGTAACAATGATTTCATGCGCTTGAGCCCGACATTAGAATATTTATATCCAAGCAAAAATCTCATGGAAACCAAAAGATGACCCTGATGTTATCATCTTTTACTCCTCTCTTGGAAACCAAAAGATAAAAGGGAGAATATCTTGGGCAGCTTAAAATCTCATGTATATAATTGGTAATACATGGAAGCATGTAAGCCATTTAAATACTAACCTGTATCACAAAATTGCGCCTCTCACAATCCATAAACATATTAACACTCCAATCAACTTTTGCCATTATTTTGTCTCTGACCGTAGAAAAGCTTAGCTGATCCCTAGAAGTAAAGCGATCAACTTCATTGAACCATAGGCAAGTAAACAAATCTGTAATGGGAATATGTTCTTTTAGGAGAACACAACCTTCGGGAACATCTGCAAAATGCCAGACACCAATGACAAGTCCAATTTTAAATGGAAACAGCCAATATACGAAACAGCATAATCTCAATACATCATGCATTTTACATGTGCAAAAATGTATTGAATCAACCTTGCACCTACCACTAGTTATAGGAAGCTTATCCTTTGAATAGTGAGTTAAACCATCGTGATTTTGATAAAATTGAATTTGTTGATCTATGGAAGCATTCTCATATTTCCCAGCAGCTTTATTAGCCTCAGCCTCAACAAAGACATCAAAGCGTCTATAGTGTCTTGAAATGGCAAAAGTAGAATTTGATCGCCACAAGAACCTGGATAATACAAAAGGAAGTAAAAGTGAACATCACAAACAACATCTATTTTATTGTTAAATAAAGGGGAATGATTAAAGTACTACACACAAATGTCCACCCATGTTCAAAACTACGGAAAAATCATAGCCAATGAAATAAAATTTCAAATTTATTCAACTCTGTGAAGCAAGCAATGCATATTTAAGTTTACTGCATGCAGCAATATGAAGAGTGAACTTTGTCAAAGTAACCAAACTACCACAATAATAAAGAATTGTGGCACTAACATAGCAGGCATTAACTACATGTTTCTATCACTATTTCGCAAGCCACTGGATTTGAAACAAAGGAAGTTTTGATAAGAATTACAAATACATTTGAGAATCAAATTTGAGGGTAAGAGGATACTTTTGATAACAGTAAAAATCAAAGTATTGGAACTTTCGTCTTGAAAAAATGCCATCTTTGAGTTTGAAGGATGTTGAATTGGGAGGATTGCAAATGAGTTAGTTACCATCATCAATACTTCAGAGGCCTTCACATGCAAAAGGAAGTTCAAAATGCATTAGATTGCAATAAAAAGCCCTATTAAGATAACATAATATTTGACCATAATTGAACCCTGCAGACAACCTGATAGAGCGCTTGTCAAGTAGATGGGGTTTACAAAATCTCCTACCATATTTCATTCTGAGGAGAATGAGTAATTCAGTTGCAAATTCAATCCTTCAGTGTTTTCGTTTCTTTACTTTCAAGACCTTTTTTCATCAAATTTTTACTCTGTCCATTCCCCTTATCGATCACCTCTTAGCATATACCATATATGTAATAAACATGAGGATAGTAAAAAATCAAGCCCGTCCCATCAATATCAAATGAGAACACAGAAAAGCTAATCCCACTCCATGGACCGAAGGCATGAAAAACTATAGAGAGAAAGTAAATAACAGGGAGGAGGGCGGAGGCAAACACCTCTCAAGAATTTGGTATGGGTCCACGACAAGCTGGAGTTTCCCATCAATCCATATTGAATATCTGACATTGGGAAAAATCCTGTGCAAAAGCAGCTTTGGAATCTGCAACAAATACATATGAGGTCAACATATACACAATCACAGTGCTTTAAAAGAAAATCTTCATTTTGATGACGCAATCCCTTCTAATTCCTTGCAGACAACAGCAGAAATTTATATTTTATGCAGCAGCTGTGACCATCTAGAAGCACCATGAAGCATCGTCAAACAGGAAGAACAAATCCAGTGTCGGATGCCCAAATTACATTAAATCTTGCATTAATCGAGGTCTAAACAGGTCAAGACTCAAAACTGCTCTGTAACTTTGAAGTTTGAAACCTAAGTAACAAAACATCGATTTGCTGAAAATCATGTTCCCCAGAATTTCAGTGTCACGAATTTAAGCATATATTCGAGCTGATTATTTTGGAACCAGTAACTGATCATATACCAACCACAAATAATAAGTTATTAACCAAATAATTGCAAGTGGAGAGACCAAAAAAAAGGAGTAACCAAGAATCATAATTCAGCCTTAACAGTTGTCAAATCACATTATCCTATTTTTTAACAGAAATTATATATTAATTAATCAAACATATATGTACAAAAGGGTCAACAGATAAGAACCAAAAATCCCTTTCGTCATCAACTACCTCCAATTTTGTAGGGAGTGGATGATCAAAGGTGTTAAAGACCCATTTTTTGGTGCGACTTAATCTAGCTAGGCATAAAGTATGAGCATCATCTACATTAGTACCACAATCTAGTTAAACATTTCAGTTTCTGATCAACATATTTTTAGGCATTATTCTAATTCGAAAGTTACCTTTTTGTATTAGGAAAAAGCAGTGACCTTCAAATAAAGCTTATGGTTTATAGTTTTTTAAAATTACGGCCACCATTATAGGCTTTTCCATTTCCAGTAAAGTGCATAGCAAATAATCCCTAAATGAAATCAGCATTCTGATCAGGCAAGGACAATC